CAAAATGAGATTCTTGGACACTGCATACTTTGGTGGATTTTGTGAACCTAGCAAAAATTTGAGTGAAGTTTGTACAATGCATGCTAATTGCTGTTTTGGACTGGAAAGCAAACTTCATGATCTTAGAATCCTGCTTCAAGACTGGAAAAGCTTCTTGTCATTGCCACCAGCACAGAAGATATCATCGGCTGTATCATGGCGAGTTCCTCAAAACTGCAGGTAAGATTTCCGTTTGTCATGATTTTCAAGATTTGTGCCACTGAAGTCCTATTTGAAGTTAATGTATTAACACCGTCCTATTATATATTCAAACACAGTGTCATGACATATTTAAACTTGACATGTTCTCCAAATATAACTGATTCTTTGTGTTGTAATGGAGACATAAAACCTCTTTTTTCTTGTTTAACATATTTATCAGCGTCCTCATAGTCTGCCCCTTCATTGCCTACAATCGACACTTCTCCTCTGCCCTTACCTCATTCTCATTTGGCTTCCATTTCCCTTCTCTTTGTTGGTTTCCCCTTTTTCCTGTTCCATTCCCATCCCCAGCTTCCGTCTGTTTCTCCCTGTTATTCTGTTCTTCCTTTCCGTTTTCCCATTATTCCTCCTCCCACGGTTGCCCAACCCCCCCGTCCCGTCCTCTTATGTTAAACATGTGTGTGTTCACTTGTTCGAAATTTCTGGTAGTTGTCAGCACAGATATCGTACTTTTGTTTAACAGTGTAGAATGGTTTCAAACATTCTTTTTTGTTTTTTTGTTTTTTAAATTTTAACATACTTTTCATATGATTTTGCAGTCTTGATTCTCTCCGTCGCTATGCTCCACCACCATTGGATGTAGAAGAGTTGAACAGACGTAGAAGATTAGTCAGAATTTTGTGATTTTAGTTGCTGTTGTTTTAGAAATTAGAATAGAAAGGTAAAGATTTTTTTTCCTTTTCCATTTCCTTCCCTCATCTTGAGTCACTATGATTTTTCCGAGTGATATCAGCAATTTACTGGGGGAAGTTATGTTTCAGGTTAATATAAAAAGATAAGGAAATCTAAAATGCTCACGCTGATTACTGTAAGTCTGTAAGTTCTGTAAACATATCATTTGAGTGAGTATAAGAGAAAAAATCTAACATAACCTAACAGTGCATGTTTCGCAATAGAATCTTTACTCGAAGGAAAATGTATGACGTTTTTTTATATCATGAAAAATTAAGAGCGTTGCGGTCATCCACACTCAAGGAAGCACTAATCAGCAGGGTTTTCATTATTCGATTTAATTGATTTATGCAAACAAAAGAAAGTAAATTCAAACTAAGTGCAAGTTGGTCCAAAACATTATTATTATAAAAAACAATTAAACTAATTATGGTAATCTTTTTGTGTAATCGTTTTCCTTCTTTTATCTCCGTCTATATACTACAAATGTCCCACTATACTAGGTATCACGAGCTTGATTTTTGTCCGCCAAAACCAGCATGTGCGGCCGCTAGGCCTCACGCTCAACTTCAGCCTTCCCAACACAGCCAAAGTTTCAGCAACTTTGGACTTAGAATATTTTTAGGCAACTTTCAACATAGTAAATTTATGAATGATTTGGGCAATGAATTTAAGTAAAGGCAATAGCAAATAAACAAGAACACAAGGTACAATATACATGAAACTATTTTCCCAACTTTGTATTTAACTCAAGCATACAAAGAAACTCAAACTCAAAGTACAGTATCGTGTACAAAAGAACACTCTTGATCTTTAGATTTTCTCACAAGACTACTCTTAGCCTCAAGCGTTTTCACTCTTGAAAACAGACTTAGGAACTCTTTGCTAACTCAGACATGTACTCCACACGTTTTCATAAGCATAAGGGTGTTGCACACTTATAGATCATGTGATAGCCCTTTGCCTTTACACTTGTCGCTCTTAGGCTTAGACACTTGTCCCACACAGCCCACTATTTTAGCCTAGTATAGTTGACATCCCCTAACTACTAGGATCATGCTAAGATAATGGAATCATAGCTACAAAAATGTTCTAGCAACTGCCTGCAAGATTTGAACAAAAGCCAATTGTTGCCCATGTGCACAACATGTGCCTTGTAACCGTCATTGACTTGGTCAAGCTGAAGCTTGCTGCCCATTGCGTGCCTTGGCTTGAATCAGGCGTCAATGCTTTGCTCTCAGGTGCATTGCAGCCACATTAAGCCTTAGCCAATGCCCACACACACTGCCCTTTGCCACTCCCCAATGTCATGATAAGTTTGCCTTGCGCGCATGCCTTCGTTGCACTTAGCCTACACTTGCTTATTTCGTTTTTGTCTTTCCTTAGCATCACTGCCTCATGCATTGATGCCTTTGTCATGCAATAGTGTCACCCTCAACCCGCATCTCGATTGTCAAGCCTTGCCAAGCTGTCTTACCTCCCTCAAAGCCTTGGCCATCACTTGCATGTTTTCCCTTTTGCCTTGGTGTTATCTTGCACGCCTTAGCTTGGCAACACTCATGCTGCCTCATGACAACACTCTTGTTGTTAAGTCAAGCCCAAAGAGGCGAACCCCTAACAAACCATCCGCACCCTTTGAAACTCGACGTCCTCGTCGAGACCAACTCAATTTATGAGTCCTAAGGGGTTGACAAGCAATGCCTCTTGGCCTATATCCTGCTTAGCCACAATTGCATTGACCTCAGCCACTTGGTTTTCACTGGTCATTGCCTCCAATGCAGCCCTCTTATATGCAACAATCATTGCATTCAACGCTGTCTTCTTTGGATAGTCTCTTGCTTAATGTGTCCCATCACAAATGAAACATCCACTGAATTTACTGCCCTTCTCCTTGCTCTTTGAAGTTCCATCCTCTTGCTTTCCCTTCCCATTGTCTTCATTAGCATGGTTATTCTCACATTTCTTCTACCCTTTTGCCTTGTCCTTCTTTTCATCGTTGGACTTTTAAAAGTCTCTTCACCTAAGTGAAAATCATCAAATTCATCGGCCACCGCCACAACACTTGTGAGGTTTTGAATATTCAGCCTACGCAACTCCAATTGTGCCCACTACTGCAGCTCGCTCATGAAGTTTTGTAATTTTTCTTCTTCCGACATATTGCTTATGCTCAATATCAAGGAAGTGAACTCTTTGACATAGGCTCTCACTGATCCGGTTTGCCTCAACCTTTTCAGTTTATCTCTAACAATCCAAGATGAATTGATAAGAAGGAACTGATCCTTCAACTCCTTTTTAAGCCGTTCCCACGACTTAATCTTTGGTATGCCCATACTTTCATCTTCAGTTACACGAGTGCACCACCATAACTTAGCATCTTCACTCAAATGCATGCTAGTCAAGATTACTTTTTCCTTCTCATCTTGCACATGAATAGCATGAAAGTACTGCTCCATATCCCAAAGAAAATTCTTCAATTCACGTGCACTCCTTGCACCACCAAATGCCTTAGGTTCAGGAATTTTGCCTCAATTTCCGCCTTACCCAAACCAAAGCCAAGCAGGTGTTCTCCAAATTGGTATACCTGGTCTTGTAGTCAGTTATTTTCTTACGTTGGTAGTATATGGCCCTTTACTTCCGCATGTCTTCATCGTATTAAGCCAACATAGACCCTATAGTGGTTTCAGTGACTGATAGGTATAGTAATAAAGGTTTCTTGGAGTTATCAACACTTAGTTACAAGCAAGAAATAATAATGAAAAAATGAAAATTATACAATTTTTTTGATTTTGCATTTTTCATTTTTATATTTTTATAGGGCTATACGGACTCGAAGCGTATACCTTCTCGATAAAACAGATCAAAGTTATTATTATTAAAATGATCTTAACTGTTTCAAAGACTCAACATGTATTTTTTTTTTTTTTTTTTTTTTTTTTTTTTTTTTTTTGCATTGGGCTCTTTCATTAACAGATATAAATATCAGTTAGTCTGCCATTTGACGATCAGTGCCACGTTAAGGAGCATTCTCGCTTACAGTAGGTCACAACACCACTCTCTCATTTTTCAGATTCGCATTCTCTTGACTTAGCCTTGCCAATTCTGCCTCAAGGTAGGCAAGCCTTGTCATGAGGGTCTGAATTTCGCCACCTTCAGGAACATTTCCAATCAATGCCTCTAGTTTCGTTATCCTTTCCCGCAATTCATTGTTACCACCGGCCATGTTCTCAAACAAGACCAAGAAATCTGCCATTACTCGTCGTGTCTCCGTCACGAACCTGCTTCGCTCTGATACCAGTTGTCACGGGCTTGATTTTTGTCCGCCAAACAAAGCCTGTGTAGTAGCCAGGCCTCATGCCCAACACTTAGCCAATATTTTAGCAACTTTGGACTTAGAATATTTTTAGGCAGCTTTCAACGTAGTAAGTTTATGAATGATTTAGCAACGAATTTAAGTAAAGGCAACAACAAATAAACAAGAACATAAGGCACAATATACAGGAAACTCTTTTCCCAACTTTGTATTTAATTCAAGCATACAAAGAAACTCAAACTCAAAATACAATGCCATGTACAAAAGATCACTCTTGATCTTCAGATTTTCTCACAAGACTACTCTTAGCCTTAGGCGTTTTCACTCTTAAAAACAGACTTAGGAACTCTTTGCTAACTCAAACATGTACTCCACACGTTTTTACAAGCATAAGGATATTGCATATTTATAGATCATGTGACAGCCATTTGCCTTTGCATTTGTCGCTCTTAGGCTTAGACAATTGTCCCACACAGTCCACTATCTTAGCCTAATGTAGATGGCATCCCCCAACTACTAGGATCATGCTAAGATAATGGAATCATGGCTACAAAAACGTTCTAGCAACTGCCTATCAGATTTAACCAAAAGCCAATTGTTGCCCATGTGCACAACATGTGCCTTGTAAACGCGTTGACTTGGTCAAGCTGAAACTTGCTGCCTATGTGTGTGCCTTGGCTTGAATAAAGTGTTAATGCTTTGCTCTCAGGTGCATTGCAGACACATTAAACCTTAGTCAATGCCCACGCACACTACCCTTTGCCACAGCCCAATGTCATGACAAGTCTGCCTTGCGTGTGTGCCTTTATTGCACTTAACCTGTCCTTGCCCACTTCGTTTTTGCCTTGCCTTAGCATCATTGCCGCATGCCTTAATGCCTTTGCCATGCCATAGTGTGACCTTCAGCCCACATCTCGATTGCCAAGCCTTGCCAAGCTGCCTTACCTTCCTCAAAGTCTTAGCTATCACTTACCCGTTTTCCCTTTTACCTTGGTGTTATCTCGCACACGTTAGCTTGGCAACACTCATGCTGTCCCATGGCAACACTCTTGTTGTCAAGTCAAGCTCAAAGAGGCGACCCCTAACACTAGGCTTCTATATTGAGGTATTTTGTAACCGTAAATTACTCCCTCTTTTTCAAATTAGATGAGGTACTTTCCTTTTTAGTCTGTTCCAAAATAAATGACATATTTCTAAATTTGAAAATAATTCAACTTTAAACTCTTCATTTTACCCATTTTACCCTTAATGACCACACAAATGTCATGGCCCCACAAAACTTTTACCCATTAAACTTTTAAGAATTTCAAAAATCTTTGTTTTTTTCTTAAACTCTGTGCCGAGTCAAATTACATCATCTAAATTGATTCGGAGGAAGTATTCATAAGTCACATTCTTTCTCATTGTAAACAAAAGGAAATTGATTAAAAAGTGGAATAAAGGAATGGAATGAAACATTATATTGCTCTTGCCTCTTGATGACTGGCACAAATAGCTCGATTTGTTCATTAGAAAGGACATGTACTTTTTTCTACACTAACATCAAACGCCATATGTTTTTTTAGTTGCCTTGCAGGAAAATCCCATTTAATTCTCTTGAGTATATATAATGTAATGTGCACCAAAGCTTGTCGAAGTTGTAAGGACATATATACTTCCGGCTGAGCTATTGCCAGTATATATGTATGTAATGTCTCGGGAAGTGAGGTTCAGGTCAGAGTCAGATATTGCTATTTTAATATAGTAGCGGTTGAGATAATTGTAAATAAGTCGAGTAGGCCTTAATCCATTAGGGGTTTTATAATAATTGGGTTGTAGTCTTAGAAATAGCGGGCCAGCTGAAAGATGGACTGCAGAAGAGCTTTAGGCCCAAACACACTCAAGCCAAGTAAAAATGGCGTGAGGTAGCCACTATTTAAGGTGGTATTTATTTTTTATCCATCAATTCTATTGTTGAGCAAAAATAGCCACTACTCTATTAAAATTAATATGAAAGGAAATTTTTACCCTTTCTTCCATTTCTTTTCTTCCCAAACCCTCGCTTCTCTCTCGATTAAGGACAGTGAAAGAAAATATGGTTGAAAATGGACATGACAATGTCCGTCGGCATGGTTCAGGAAATAGGAGAAGTGTTGATCTTCTTGATGCTTGTCTAATACCAGGAGTGATTCCATTTGCACTGTGTCTTTTCTTCTCAAAGTTGGTAGCATACACATTTTTGTACTGGTTGCTGTTTTACCTTAGTCAAACAGGTATACCAATAGAGAATTATACCAATAGAGAAACTTATACCATTGGAATTTGGAGGTACAAATTCAGATTGCGAAGTTAGATGTGTCAAGGACAATTGGTCCTGAACTTAGAGTTGGAAGTTCAAAAATTAAGGACACTTGGTCCTTAACTTAGAGTACAAGCACAGAAATTAAGGACATGTAGTCCTTAACTTAGAGTTACAAGCACAAAAATTAAGGACATGTAGTCCTGAACTTCGAGTTCCAAGTTCAAAAGTTAAGGACATGTAGTCCTGAATTTAGAGTTACAAGTTCAAAAGTTAAGAACAAGTAGTCCTAAACTTAGACTTACAAGCTCATAAATTAAGGACAAATAGTCTTGAACTTACAGTAACAAGCTCATAAGTTAAGGACACTTGATCCTGAACTTTATGAGCAGAAGGGTATTTTCGTCTGGGCAGGTAAAGTTTATTAAAGTAGTGGCTAAAGACTAAAGATATTTTAAACAGTGGCTTAAAAGTAAATACATATCTTATTAGTGGCTAATTGTGCACTTCCCCTAAAAATGGCATGGAGTAGCCACTATTTAAGGTAGTATTCATTTTTTATCCAACAATTCTAATGTTTAGCAAAAATAGCCACTACTCTATTAAAATTAATATGAAAAGATATTTTTACCCTTTCTTCCATTGCTTTTCTTCCCAAACCCTCGCTTCTCTCTCTCAAGTTCGATGCAGAGACATGTTTTTGTGGATGCATATGTTGTTTGTGATAAAAATGCTGAATTGGGTTTTTGATTCTTGTGAATTTGATGGCTTTGAACAGTTACGAAGATGAAAAATGATATCTTGTTGTTTTTCTAACGAGGGTCAGCTTTGTCTTGTTTCGTGTGATTGCCACCTTTATTCGGTTTTTGCCTTCAATTTTATGTATGGATTCAATGCTGAATTGGGTTTCTGATTCTTGTTGATGCATGTGTTGTTGANCTATTAAAATTAATATGAAAAGATATTTTTACCCTTTCTTCCATTGCTTTTCTTCCCAAACCCTCGCTTCTCTCTCTCAAGTTCGATGCAGAGACATGTTTTTGTGGATGCATATGTTGTTTGTGATAAAAATGCTGAATTGGGTTTTTGATTCTTGTGAATTTGATGGCTTTGAACAGTTACGAAGATGAAAAATGATATCTTGTTGTTTTTCTAACGAGGGTCAGCTTTGTCTTGTTTCGTGTGATTGCCACCTTTATTCGGTTTTTGCCTTCAATTTTATGTATGGATTCAATGCTGAATTGGGTTTCTAATTCTTGTTAATGCATGTGTTGTTGAAAGGATTCGGTCCTTAACTTATAGTTACGAGCACAGAAATTAAGGACATGTAGTACTTAACTTAGAGTTACAAGCACAGAAATTAAGGGCAGGTAGTCCTGAACTTAGAGTTACAAGTTCAAAAGTTAAGGACATGTAGTCCTGAACTTAGAGTTACAAGCTCAAAAACTAAAGACAGGTAGTCCTCAACTTAGACTTACAAGCTCATAAATTAAGGACAGCTAGTCCTGAACTTACAATAACAAGCTTATAAGTTAAGGACACTTGGTCCTGAACTTAGAGTTGGAAGTTCAAAAATTAAGGACACTTGGTCCTTAACTTAGAGTACAAGCACAGAAATTAAGGACATGTAGTCCTTAACTTAGAGTTACAAGCACAAAAATTAAGGACATGTAGTCCTGAACTTCGAGTTCCAAGTTCAAAAGTTAAGGACATGTAGTCCTGAATTTAGAGTTACAAGTTCAAAAGTTAAGGACAAGTAGTCCTAAACTTAGACTTACAAGCTCATAAATTAAGGGCAGATAGTCTTGAACTTACAGTAACAAGCTCATAAGTTAAAGACACTTGGTCCTGAACTTTATGAGCAGAAGAGTATTTTCATCCGGACGGGTAAAGTTTATTAAAGCAGTGGCTAAAGACTAAAGACATTTTAAATAGTGACTTAAAAGTAAATACATGTCTTATTAGTGGCTAACTGTGCACTTCCCCTCAAGCCAAGCTCAAGAAATTCCTCTCAGTTAAAACTTCCTAACTGATTTCTCCTCTCTCTTCGTCTCTAACCTCCCCATTTCTTCTTCTTTCAGGTCATTCATGGAGTAGACAGGAATCAATGTTGTAATTCAATTCTTACACGAGATTAATAAAAGAGTTCCTGCTTCTCTTCTTCTTAATTTTGTTTAGCAATTCTAGTACATTACAATGCAACAGATGGGAGTTCTGTTCTTATGATTAATACTTAAAAAATGAAACAACAAAGTAAAGCAAGAATTAGGTAAGAGTATAGTTAAAAAAGTGATTCACAGGACAGTTTTGTAGTCCCGGAGACCTTGTGGAAAAGCTACTTCCAATCCAGAACTCAAATCAAGCTCATAATACATGGTTGACAAGCTATTAAGTCCAAAATATACAAGGCTCCGCAAGAAAAGCTACAAGAGGCAATGCCCTTCAAAAGAAAAAGAAAAACTTAAAATTCTATATTTACAGAATATACAAGATCTGTGTACAATTGGAGATTCAATTTCGATTCCACTAGTACAGACAAAGAACAAACAAATGCTTAAAGAGTGTTCATACAACAGTAGTGATAGGCGCTATGAGCAGTGGAGCTGGTTGAAGACAACTCTTCTTACAGACACCAGCCCTCGGTTGATATTCTTCTGCATTTGTTTCTTGCGAACGCACCAGAATGACTGAAGGATAGCATATTTTTAAAATTATGCCAGACAGACTCTATCCTGTTCCAGTGTCAGAATCCAAATTCTTTCGGCTTTGTAGAAGGCCTTCATCCCATACTTCAGTATTCCTGCAGAGCATGAAGATTCCGTTAATAACATAAAAAGTGTACATGTGTAAGCATCATAGATGAGCCCAGAAATAAGTAACATTAAGAAACAACAACAACATAGCCAGTAAGATTAAAAGATTAGTCAAATATGAGTTCAAAATTTTTAAGTCACGAGGAGCTTAAGGCAAATATAAACATGCATCGAAATATTTAGGGTGAAAGTGCAAAAGAACCTGAGTATTAACATTTATCATAGACTAGATCAAGTATTTTTTTTCATGACATCCTGGAAAGCTTATGTTATCTCCATGCCAAATTTAGTTCTTCTAAGCACCATCACAATTTTCTTTCAAGGAAAATAACGCATCCAGACAAGTATAATTTAAATGATAACATGCATCAATCTTCATTTATTTGTACAGTAAGTAGTTTTATCAATAATGGTAAAATATACCGCATACGAACAATATCCCAAAACTTAGAGAATCTACAACATAATATGATTCTCCACGAACAGTACCCAATCTCCTATGCAAATTGGAACTTCATAGGTGCACCAAAAAGAAACTAAAAATGAGAGGCAAGAGTCTATTCCTCAGCACGCTACTTCATGTATGAACTGAATGGGTATTCGCACAGTATCTCAGCATTAATGCAACTTTACATTCCAGTTCAGCCATTGGTATTTTAAGGTATAAAAATGATACCCAAAGTAGAAAATTTTGTAAAACTGAACACACATACCTCGTCCCGTCAATGTTGATACAAAGAAAACGGCCATGGCGCCATCCATCTTTAAAGTGGCCAAAGAAAACATCACCAAGCTTTGAATAGAAACGTCCTTCTCCATTAGCCTTTCCCTTCCAAAAGTTCACAAACCATCGATCCCCAGTATGAAAGTAAAACCACCCCTATATATAGTTACAGAAACTGTTATTCGTTTAGAAAATGACAGCTAAAACGGTTCGAATTTTCTTCTGAGATAGAAAACTGTGCAAAACCTGCTTCTCAAAGAAATATTCATACACCAGTGGCATCTAAACACTTTAATTCGAAAATCACTAAATAAAGCGTTGTGGTCTGGAATGTATATTTTCTTTTAAATTGAGATCGCTCCAAGGGAGATAAGTGATACTCCCTCCTGTCCAAAGTTGTTGTCCCTTCACTTGTTGAGAATCAACTTGACCAATTCTCATGATGAAAATGATCACGGATAATTTTTCATTTAAAACTCATATAAACAGATAAAGAAGTTACATGAAAGATACCACAAATTCAAAGTATTTATTCAAAATATTAAACAACTCTTGGAAAAAGATTGTTATCAGTTTAAGTGAGTTGACTATTGAAAAACAAAAGGTGAGAATAATCTGGATGGCGGCTGGTTTGTTTTTTGATGAAGTAATAAATTCTTGATGTAAATGGAACTAATCCTGTATACAACCAGTATACAAAAGGTGGAGAATCTCAAGTGATCCCCATAAGATAGCACGCAGTAGTCTAAACCAATCGGAATCTCCTACGTACTCCAAAAGTTCACAAAAAACCAACATGCTCTTCTAAAATCTACAAAATGAGTTTTCAAACTCCTCAAAAGCTCTCAGGTTCCTCTTTTTTTTTTTTTTTTCAAACAGTCCAAGGAAGCCACTTCGCGTGCTCGTTTGTATATTTGGAAAAGGTGCCGAACTTGCATCCATGGTGTGTTGAAATGTCATAACTTTCAGAAACTTAAGGAAACAAAGAACAAGAAGTTGATAGCGTGCGGCAGAAGTGCCCGCCACACTAGTATTTGTATAATAAATTTGTACATAACCATCAGAGCTCAATGAAGGAATATTGGTACCTTTCCGTGCATGAGATCATCTCTCCATGACCCCCGATAAATATCACCATTATTGAAGTAAAATGTACCCAACCCTGACTTCTTTCCGTAGCGCCACATACCATCGTATTTGCTTCCATCTCCAAGAGACAAGCAGCCCTGTAGAATTCGAAACTCACTTTCATCCAGACAAACACAAATATAGAAAATAAAAACTATAATCATCTATCTGAGTTCGGATTTCGGTTTCTTGAGTTTTTGGAAATAAAATTCATATCGAGAAAGTACATAAAAGTACTATATATCATAAATAAAGTATCTAAAAAGATGTTTAATAAAACTATGGTCAAAGAAATCCTTTTGACACTCCAATAGTTAACAGTATCTTCTTTTTGGGGCTAAATAAAAAGTTTAAAAAAGTAGCACAGGAAACAGGTCTTCTGAATCTCAACAGTTAAATCAAAGTACCTTTCCTTCGGGAAGTCCTCCTTCAATCCGACCTCTGTATATACCTCCCCTGTATTTCATTTCGACTACGGGAATCCACTTCTTTTTTGAATCTCGTTCGGCTTCCTGAGTATGATGATAGCACAACTTAAAACCATAGAACAAATAAAAACTAAATTTAACTTTCCATCAAAACTCTCCCACTTAAGTTCTTCGTCATATAATCAACCAAGATACTCTGATGTCTAGCTTCGTCCAGACACGGATAAATTTGAGGTGGAGAGAGGAGGAAAAGGCTCTGGTGCCATGTCTTACAACGGCTTCAACTATGTAAAAACACCAAAGCAGAAATTCAAATCTACTCAATGTAATCATGGGACCACAACTGACTACGATTGCATGAAGGAAAATTAGTAGGACCCAGTGTTAACATCTACATTTCCTTTCTTGATTTCTACTTGTATTAAGGTCCATCACCAGTTCATGAATTTGCATTGTAAATGATCACCAGCAAAAGTTGACACAACACCTTTCATTTTCCTCACTATTAGAAATAGTATTCATCATTTCTCATTCTTAAAATATCTGTAGCACATAGATCTGTAAGATAGTGAAAAAATCCAACAGCTCCACTAGCAAGTATAACACTACCTAAAGCCAAAGTTATCAAATTTAAAGAAACAGAATCAATTGATAGAAAACTATAACGTAGACAGAAGTTTGTGCAATCTAGACACTAAAAACAACTTATAATTAAATTGATAAAGTTTTCCTTACGATAAAATTAAATTTGATCATTATGTCCAGCACTAAATTTTAGGCTATTTACCAGCATAGAGGCCGCCCGAGAAGAGAGAACTCCTTTCTTTTTTGGAACACTCGCATAGTTTCTTTCAGTCAAGGAAGGGTTAGAGTTGTAAACATCTGCCATAATTTTGCTGTATTCTTCATCCATTGCATCCTGAGATAAACTTGAAACATCTCTAGACTGAGCTATTTTGCTTTCTTCAGATTTCCTCCCTGTATAATTTCTTGAGTTTGAGGAACCTGGACTAGTTTGCAACTGTTCTTTCTGCTTTACGCCAACCGGAAGTTTGTAGGTGCTGGTATTGTCAACCATGTCATTGGCTTCTATATTCTCGGTCCCTTCTGTAGCTAAGCCTTCTGAAGTGTCATTTCCTGGCCTCAGATTCCATCTGGTGAGCAGCTCTCTTTTAAAAACAAGAGGTTCTGTAAAATCCATTTCGATCAGGCACTATTCCATTATAGGCTCATAACTTTGATATGCTCTTCTAATATATTTTGTCCACTTTAATCTTATTGCAAGTGATGAAGGTCATTGCATGAAGTCATGTCTAGACGCTACTGTATGAAAAACTGAGTGAACCTAAGCAAAAATAACTATGTACCTTCAGTACCAACATCATCCGTGGATGAACAAGGGTCAAAGTTTGACAGTTCAATCTTCCTTTCATCAGAAACATTATCATAATCTCTGCCAAGCAAAGAAATTTCTCTAAGTAAGAGCAGCATATGTCCCGTCTGAGAATGAATTCATCATAGGTGAACTTAGATAGTCTAAAAAGAATAGAGGAAGACCTCAAAGAAGATGTTCCTTCACTATCAGTGCGAAATAATGCCAGCAGTTCCCCAAAATAAACTGACTCATCCTTACGCGCATTATCCACAGAAACAAATTCTGCCGTATCAGAAATTTCTGGACTCTCATCAATTTCTCTTTCTTTGGTAGTTTGAGGTGGTGGATCTGGCTTCTTAAGGATATTAAAAATGAAAGGAATATGTTGTGCCAGTCTAGAGAATAAGTTACTTTTTTTGGAAGATTCCTGTTCAGCGTACCTAAGAATCATAAGTACTCAAGAATCAGGATTTCAGAAAGTTGTACAAATTAGAAAATAGAACAGGTTGAACTCTTTAGCGAACCGTCGCCATAACATCTTAAGAAGTGAACGAATGTGGCAACAAACAAAGAAGCCATGTGAAAGAAAGACAGTATACAAGAAAACTCAAGAAAATAAAAAGAAAGAGGATACATTTCTCTGATCATGAACGAAAGCAGACACCAAATATTCACTGACTAGTCACTAAATTGTACAAAATGTAGAAAGGAATCCTCTCAGTATATAGGAGAAGTAACACCTAGCTGGAAATATCCAAATACATATTTTCCTTTAATCAGTTGATCTCATTCTATAATGAGCAGCGCAACCAAGCTTACTTATTGGGCCCGAGTTACTAGGATATCTTGTTCTAAGAATTACAGCATCTGCATGCATTGGTAGTTGATAAAAGACTGTACATTACACTTATCTTAATGCATAGAGTACTGAATCAAAAAGACCTATTATCACTATTTCATACCATTCTTTTAGTTGAGATAGTCTTATCTTTCATTTAGAGCTAGAATCCTAGTTGTTCAAAAGTTCTAAGTAGCTCCCTATTTTATAAATAGGGCTCTATGCAAAAACATTTTCATATAAGACAAAGAAAAGCCACATTTCTTATCGGCAGGAGGTGAAGAAACAAGGCAGGGGAAGGGACTATTTTCAATAGAGCTCTAGTAGGCAAATGGAGGCTTGTGGAGAAAGGTTATCACTAACAAATATTAAGTCCAACAGGGTGAATGGAGTACCAACAGGATTAAGATACTTTATGGAGTTGCATTATTAAGATACATTATGAAATGGTAGGAAGAGTTCCATATAACTGTCAGACTTCAACCAGGAAATAGAACATCAGTCAGTTTCAGGAAACAAAGATGATATAGTGATGTTCCTTGTACGATGCCTTTCTGGTAGTCTTCAGCATATCATGCCAACAAGCAGCTATGGCAGGTCAGATCTATAGAGACAGGGAAAACACACTCCTCTATAAGAAACACAAAATTTTCTTGGATTGCTTATTAGACAAACTATAGAAGATGGAACAAACTAATAAATAATGGTTTTGACTGCAGCATGTTAGGCTATGACCCATGTTTATCCTAAACTGACCCAACCTATGTTGACCCACGTAAACTT